CTTCTTCTTCTTTATCAGAGTAGAGATAGAGGTAACTGCAGACATTGTTTGGACACGGCCTTCTGCCTTATTGGACACGACATTCAGATCGGACTTACACTCTACATTGGGATTGAACTGTGTGCGACATTCGGAGATCAGACTTGGGTTGGACTTGGCTACCTCTATGTCCCTCCCCCTTCTCTCTCGCATGTCTATGGATCTCTCCCCATGTGTGTGAGCGGAAGGGCAATCTTCCTGGTGTCTTGCCCTTCCGAAGTTTCTCCCTTCATGTTGTTGTCCACGTGTCCTTTGATACTAGATCTTCCGCTGCGCTGCTTCCCAGCCTATGATGATGATGATACGAATGTGTTGTTATTGATTTCCCGATGTTTCACTCTTTGCGTTGCGCACATTGACACCTTGTGAATGTTGCACCTATGCTGCTGGTTGTTGCCATTTTCGTCATTGCTAGATCCTAGGCTTTCAGTGCATTTCACTTTCTGATATGTCACATTCCAGGTGCGAGTGCCTCTCACTGTCGCCTCTCCCAACTTGTCGCATGAAGTCCTCTTGATGTGTCTCGTCACCAAATACTTACTCTCAAACAACCTGGTCAGGTTCAATGCCGACCCAGCATGACCTAACCAGGTCGGGAGAACTTCCCTAAGCCACGCTGCCCCACTTCCCACTTCGGACCAACCCTAACCCTAAGTGGTTAGCCCTAACCACTTAGGTTAGGGTAGGGTGGATAAGTCAACTCTCACCAGCAAGTAGAATCAGCTCTGATACCAATGTTATCATCCTGGCCAATTTCGAAGTACACATTCATCAGATAGTACAATGCCGTCCAATTGCAGAAAGAAATGAATGAACTTGAGAGGAGAGAGAGGGTAAGAAGAAGAAGAAGAAAGAAAGAAGAAGAAGATGATGTACACCAACATAGACAAATGATTATGCTCTTCTTCTTTGCCAAACACTCTCCTCCTCCTTCACTCCTCTCTTATTCACGCAAGAAATAATAGTACAATATTGAATGGCTGAACCAGAATCAATGTCTGAATCCGTCTTCTACTGCAGGTATCACTTGAGGTCCACCATTGCCATGGCCGCCTCCCTCACTCTTCACTCTCATAGGCCGAGGCTATGGCGGACTACTTGGGCCTTGCCCTGATGTCCAAAGGACAACGCAAAGCAGCTATGGCTGCTCTAGCTCAGGCCGCCATGCCTGACTCTGCCTCGGAGCTTCTTGGTGTAGCTCTGCCCTCACGGGGACCTTCCTGCTGCAGCGCCCACCAAGGTGATGAATATGGCTGCCACCATAGCCAGGTAAGTACCTCTGGCGCTCCCCCTTCCTGCTGGTCTTCTTCCTCCTCCGTGTCTTTGCTCCTCCCCCAGCAGCGCTGCTCTTGCTAGCGCTGCTCCAGCCAGCGCTCCAACCAGTGTGTCGCCGAACTTGCACACCGACAATGAGGCTGGGCTCTTCGCCCGGCCTGGAGATATAGCGGTCTGATTGCCTCTTGGGCGGTGACTTCCAGGCCGCCTGGCCTTCCAAGCAACCGGTACCTCCTCCCTTTCTGAGGGAAACATCGTTGCAGACTCTGATATTGCCCGTACCGGCCCTAGACTCAGACTGGTTGGACTGGTACCCGCCTAGACCTAGCCTACAACTACCGGGCCTCTAAAAGTGCCAACTTTTGTCTTCTTCTGCTCGGCCTTGAGTACCCGGCACATCTACTTCTTCAGGGTGTGGTACCGGCCTACCTGCTACTTGAGTGTTTCCCCGCTGCTTCAAGTGTTGCGGGCCTCTTCCCCTGCCACTCGAGTGTTTTGCCCCCGCTGAAATCCTCAATGTCACGACCACAGGTAAGTACCGGCCCTGAGGGCCCAACGAACGAACAAGTGCCCTTGCGGGTCACAAACACACTAAA